TTGAAAGTGTAGCAGAAGAGCTCAGTAACGAGGACCAAGAATTGATCTGTAATGTAAAAGCTGCATTCTCTGCCAAGAAATTCAAGCTCCTGAACGACTACACCGACACCAAGGAAGAGTTGCATAACCTGAGTGACACCAACATCGATAGCAAGAGCGAAGACGACGAGGATCAACAGTTGGCAGAACAAGAACTACTTGTGAGACAATTTTGGAGAACATTCAACGTCAAGAAAGCTGTGGAATTCTTGGTGGAGGCATGGGATCAGCTGTCTGTAGCAACTGTTCGTCACGCATGGAGACATGTGTTGCAAGGTATTCCGGGTGTTAAGCAGAGTAAATCTGTGACTGGTGAGGTTCAGACTGTTGCAGTAGCAGTGGACCTTGCCAGAAAAGCTGCGCAGAGTGTTACAGCTGCAGGCTTCTCCAAGACCACCAACGACGACATCCTGGAGGTGATAAGGGATCCTAATGTGACTACCAACAAGATGGTAGATGATGATGACGTCAGTGAAGAGGCAGGTGGTGGGTCATCCCAATAAGAACGCCAGTTATCCCATAGTAATGTAAGGGGTGCCATCGAGTGTATTGAGAAAGTCAAGCTCCTCCTTTCCGACGACCCTGACGCTAACAGGTATGAAATCTTCACTACCCAGCTGTTGCAGACTATGGAGCCCTACATCAAGGTTTATCACGACAACATAAACACCAGCCGTCAGCAAAGCATAACCGAGTTCTTCGCCCGCAACCCACCACAGTCAGCCCAAGCCAGTGAGAGTGACAGAGACAGTGATGATGACTTTGAGGGATTTGTCAGGGAGGCACTAGTAAGTGTGGATGACAGCGATGAAGACTCACCTGAGGGCCAGTAGCCTGCCCTCTGCCTCGGAACCAGCCTCCATTCCCCTACGCCGACCCATCTCTTCTACTAACGTAAGTGTTAACCCCAACCTTGTTTTTTTTCCAACCTAACCTTCAGTATATTATTCTCTTATTGATTGTTCCCCTCTATATTATGTGTGTGTGAATACCATCATAAAGTTAAGATGTTATTTTTAGTAAAACGTACATATTGTGTCGGGAAAAAGTGGAGTTTGGGGGTCGGCCCAGTCTCTATTTCAATTAATCCCATATGTTATGTTGTTCACTTTACTCGTTTCTCACTTTACGCGGGACGCCATGGGTTCAATTAACCACGTAAAGTGAGGGTTCACTGTATATGACATGTATATTCAAAATATTCCGGGTCTTGCAAGGAATCCAGCAATGTCAATTATATTATCCTAGCTTTAGTTTGAGGTATTATTTATTACTATACCTTAAAATCTAGTGTTCTCCCCCAAACATATCTCTGAGAGGGAGGGGCCAGCGGGTGTGAGAAGAGGGGGGGGTTGAGTCCATTATTTGAATGGACATTAACTTGGCAACTGTATTTCTCTATTTCTCTTAAATATTAATTGTTTGTGGGTACCATCATAAAATTAAGATGTTATTTTTACTAGAACATAGGTATTGTGTCGGGAAAAAGTGGAGTTTGGGGGTCGGCCCGGTCTCTATTTCAATTAATCCCATATGTTGTGTTGTTCACTTTATGCGTTTCTCACTTTACGCGGGCCTCTGTGGGTTCAATTGACCGCTTTACGCGAGGGTTCACTGTACAGTCAACCCTCACTTTACGCGGTCCCACATTCCGCGTTTCCACGTTTAGGCGGTGCCCTGCCAGAACCCAGGATGCTCACATTCCGCGGTGGGTGTACCCCTTTACACGGGTGAAGTATAATTTTTTTATTTAGCTCATAAAATTCATACAAATTATCCGGCCAGAATATAATTTACATTGCTGGAATTCTTACAATTTGATGATCATTTTGAATATAAACATCATAGATTTTGCATTAGACATACAAATTTTAGATATAATGTTTACTCTTGAGTAAATATGTTATCTTTTGTGCAAAATATATGATATTTATATTCAAAATATTCCTGGTCTTACAAGGAATCCAGCAATGTCAATTATATTATCCTAACTTTAGTTTGAGGTATTATTTATTACTATACCTGGTTTTCCCCCCAAAATTTCTCAGAGGGAAGAGCCAGCAGTGTAGTGTGAGAAGAGGGGAGGGAGTCGTGTCCATTATTTGAATGGACATTAACTTGGCGACTGTATTTCTCTATTTCCCTTAAGTATTAATTGTGTGCATGTACCATCATAAAATTAAGATGTTATTTTTACTACAACATAGTTATGTGTCGTCAAAAAGTGGAGTTTGGGGATCGGCCTGGACTCCATTTCAATTAATCCCATATGTTATGTTATTCACTTTACGCGTTTCTTGCTTTCCGCGGTACCCTCCGGGTTACATTAACCGCGTAAAGTGAGGGTTAACTGTATATATTTTTTTAAAGGCATTAGCCCAACCAGGCACAGGTCATTTTTAATGACCCACATCAAGACCTGGGGGACAAAAATATAATAAAATAAAATAATAATAATAAAGAACCAAAAATAAATACAAACATTAAAAAAAGATCAATAGCGAGAAACGATATACAGTGGTCCCTCGGTTAACGAACACAATTCGTTCCACAGAGTCGTTTGTTAACCGAATCTATTATATTTCAGTGTGATATTGGGTAATTGGTTTAAACTCACAGAAAAAGTACATACAAAGTACTGTATACCGGTAATAGAATTAACAAAACATTAAATATAAACTAAAGACAGTGCTATACTGTACAGTATACTGTATAATAAAAAATAAAAAATAATAAAATACTGTATTTTAACTTACTTTGAGGTGTGTATGTCGTATTCCTGGCAGCTTTGTTTACACATCAAACAGCTGATTGTAGAGGCAGTCGATGATGACATGCCATATTCTTTACAGGGTGCATTGGTTCTAATGCCTTCTTCATGTTTCATAATAATTTTGTTACACTGTATATTATCAATTTGTTAACTAAATTTCAAAATGACCAATAATTTTAATGTAAAAATGCAAAAATATTCAAGAGACCAACAAAATCGATGTTCACTCCACTGTAAACAAAGTTAAACTGAGAAGCGTTGTTGGGTGATTCGATCAGCTGATGGGCACACAAAAGCTGTTCCTTGTACTGTCTATATTATAAATATGTTAGCTAAATTTCAGAATGACCAATAATTTTAATATAAAAAATACAGAAATATTCAAGAGACCAACTTTCTTAATATTTACTTCACTGGAAACGAATGTAAACATAGAACCAATTACAAATACTGTATTGGCAGACTAGCCGATCAGCTGATGCGCACAACAAAACATGTTTGTTGTAAGGATTTCATTAATCGAAGTTTTGTTCGTCAATCGAACTGAAAATCTTTTGGGAGCTAATTCGTTAACAGAAATTTCGTTAATCGAACCGTTCGTTAACCGAGGGATCACTGTATGTATGTTGTGTTGTCAAAGTAAGAGAAATAATTGAGACCCTGCAATTGTGTGTAAATGAGGCAGAAAGACAGATCAGCAGCCTGGGACTTGGTCACAATTTTTGTGATGCCATTTGGCAGCAGGGTCTACCATTAGACAATACATTTAATTTGTCAATTAAATATATCAGACATGTTACTTTTTCTGAGTTGATTGGTTGTTGGATTTTACTGTTGAAGACTTATGCTTATGTTAAGTCTTTTTTTTCTTTAGGTATTTACTTTATTTTATGCCTCTCTGATAGCATAATTCAAATGATTTACTGGTAATATATTAAACATTTAAAGTATTTAATACATTAAACATATCACTGTAATGGTGGTCATTGACCTAAACTTTACCACAGGTGGTTTGTTAGTCTGGGTAGTCATCTTATATAGGTACACCAAAGATTATCCGGGAACTGATGATCTGGCACCTCCTTTAGTCCGGACAATATTATTCCCTCCCTCCCTCCCAGCCTGGGTGAAGCTAGTTTTAGGCTTCAAGTTTTTATCTTATAAAATGTAGCTGACTAGACATAGCAGAATATTAATTGCATTTCTTGAATCCTTGTAAAATAGTAATTAATTTGGGTATAAACATCATGTAGTTTGCACAAGAGATAGAAATTTTAGTCTAGTGTGGTACATTTGAGTAAAAGCTTTTTAATTCATATTTTTTGGAAAATATATAAAGTGGTCCCTCGGTTAACGAACACAATTCGTTCCAGAAGGTCGTTCATTAACCGAAAATTTTGTTAGCCGAAACCATTGTTTCAATGGGATTTTGGGTAATTGGTTCCAGCTCACCGAAAATTACATACTATACAATTAAAAAAAAAATGCAATAAAGTACACTTACTTTGAGGTGTGTATGTAGAAGGCTCCTGGTTGATGATGATGATGGGAATTAGAAGTGGGGGTGGAGGAGAAAGGAGAAGAGAAGGAAATGGGGGTGGAAGAGAAATCACCCCATGCTTCATGCCGTTATTTCACCAATACAATTTTAAGTTCACTAAGTGTAATTCAAGATTATTTTCTTTAAATCAACACTGCACTGCACTATATATTGTCAATATGTTATATAAATTTCAGAATGACCAATAATTATACTGTAAAAACGTAAAAATACTCTGTGTTCAAGAGACCCACAAGCAAGATGTTTCCTCCACTGAACAGAGATACAAACTGAGGCCTTGGTGGGTGAGTGAAGTGGCTGTTGGGCGCACCAAAAACTAGTTCCCTGTACTGCAATTATCTTAAATAAATGTTAAAATGACTAAAAAACTTAATATAAAACTTGGAAAATTATTGAATATTACAACCATCTTGATATTTACTCCAATTTTAACGAATGTAAGCCCTAGAACCGATTTCCGTATTGGCGGACTAATCTTCCAGCTGGTGAGCAAGCCAAAGCATGTCGAAACATTTTCGTAAGAATTTCATTAACTGAATTTTTGTTCGTTAACCAAATTGAATATTCTTATGGAAGGTAATTCATTAACCGAAATTTCGTTAACCGAGGGACCACTGTATAACATTCATATGCAAAAATATGATTATTCCACTTACCTAATCCTACACATTACAGTAAGATACAATTATGCAATACAGTACTGCTAACAAAATACTCACCTTTACATCTCCGTCTTTGGAAGCTGATGTACAGACTCGGGCATCTGCTGAGTATCGTACAGATGTAAGTGGTCCGGTGTGGTGCTCACGAGGGTAAGGGCACACATAACACTGACCCGAGTTGATGTCATAGAACCTAACTACTGCTCCCTCTGTAGCAACAGCAAGGAAGTCTCCACTAGGATGTATTGACATGCTTGTTACTTGCTCAGCATCCTGATGATTGAGAATATTAGTACTGGATACAGATATTATACAAAACAAAATAATTCACTTTAAATTCTATATAACATATCTGTTAATAAAATAAAACATTATAATGTTTTTATTTTATCAACACTCTACAGTACTGAACTATGAAAGCCTTATCCAATCAGAGAGGAAGAACATGGGTACATACCCAACTCCCTCCATTTACTATATCAAAAACCTAATATTGTATATAAATTTCAAAGTATTCTTCCATCTATATTCTATACACTAATCTTCCATGACACCCCTTCCTCAGCTGTGACCATTATATTTCATATTTTTTTTTACACGCAATTCCTTTCTTTTTATCTGATCTCAGACTCTTGGGCCCGAATTCAGAATGGTGGTATGAACCTGGGATTTGACCTCGGCTCAGGCGTGCAAATTGGGATTCCTCAATCCAAGAGTTCCTGCAGTGGATAACCCATGTTCAGAACATAGACTTGAACTCCGGATCGGGTAATCTGTAGCATTTTTTTCAATTTCGAGCAAGGATTCGAACACTGAAATTCCAGCCAATCACGTTTCACTTACACCATTACAGCAGCCAATCACCATGGAGGCAACTATGACTTGAAGAGTTTTTACGGAAGAGGATAAATCTCTCCTTGCAAATCATATGTTACTTTTGTTACTATAATTACAACCAAATTATGATCAAATTATAATGATTTATGGTACTGTGTTACAATGTGGCTGCATTGTTATATGATAAAGAAATTCATAGAGAAAGAAGAATTACATACAAAATTGTCAATATAATCCGGGACAGGTGTCAATATTCATAACCAAAGCAAGATAAATCAATGCAGGGCACAGTAACCTGGCTAGGTTTGGTTAGGTTAGTTTCTTTCTGTTCTTTTAAACCCTCATTTCCCCTGAGTAGTAACATTAAGAAAAGACTTTCCTTTACTAATACATTAAAATCAAAATGCACTCAGCATTGATTCAATTATATTCAAAATACATCACAATAGTTTTCCTTTGGAAAAACACTCAAAATAAAGAAGCGTCAGCATTCTTTACATTTACCAACTTGATCTCCAAGAAACCCTATATACAAAAGTGTTGTAACACATTGCCATAACTCATTCAGAAACCAGAATCTTTCTTACCTGGAAACTATTCATTGTTAAGAATCTCAAAGCAATCATCAGCTGATGAATAGGAGGTAGAGGTGAACCATAGCCAAAAGGTCTGTCAAGTAGATGCTCCATATCTCAGAAAATATCAAAGAAATCTCCCTTGCTGAACCTAGATCACTGTTTGAATTGCGTGTCATGATGAAAATTGATAGGATTCTGCATATCTACCATCAGTCTTCTCTCTACAAAATTTTCAATTTGACGATATCACCGAAAAGCGCGCTCTGTCAAAATTCATGTTCGAAGAACACGCTCTGTCAAAACTCATGTTGACTTGCTATCTTGAATGACGGATCGACCGATAAACCTGCCTCCAGGCTGGATTAACGCGAGGATTGACAAATATGATCTCAAACTCGGTTTGAATCTTTGTGTTGGCTAAAGCCAGAGTTTTGAATACCAACAATCTTCAATCTTCGCTGGATCCTTGGTTTAAACCTTCAAGCAGTTTCAAACCAGCGTTCTGAATTCAAGCCTTAGATTTCAACCCCAGATTTCTCAGATACTGTATATTGATTGATTGATTTACATATTCATGTAAATCATTTCCCAAGGCTATAGGATAAAAGCAAAGTAATAAAACAGAAGTTTCAGTTAAAAATATGAATAATGTATTCTTGGATTTTATTCATTTTTTGCCCAATAAGCTACGATAATCTCAAGAGAGTAAATTTCTGCAATACTGGTTTCAAGGTAATATTTGGAAGCTGTTTCCTACAAAACAAGTAAATATACACAAATGATAACAAAACTTACTGTCAAAGTCTTAAAAGCTTTCTTAGCAGATGTTTTACTAAAATCAAACATTTTGACATTTGTGTCTCTACTTCCTGAGATGAGAATTTGCTCCCTTGGATGGAACTCCAGGCACGTGATTTCATCCAAATGGTCATAAAGAGTACGAATAACTGGATGGCCAACTACTGCATCTGGGTGTAGCTCGACAGCATCTGGGTCACTTTTGGCTAACATGCGATCCACATCCAGAATCTGTGAGTGAATAATAAATCTGAAATTTGGGGACATCAATTCCTAAACACATGAGGGAGATAAGGAAGATCTGAAAGGATTACCCTTAAACCTACAGCTGCTGGCCCAAGGGGAAATGGTAGAATTAAACATGGCTGTTTTGTTCATTCCTTACAAAATGAAAAGCTGTTAACTTGGCAAATGTCAACCAACACTACTCTTCCCCCAATATCTGTTATAATACAACCTTCTTTCCTCACACAGCCAAACTGTGGAATACTCCGGCATCTTCGTGGTGTAGATAATTAATCTTTTTGTTCAAGCTGGAATGCGATGTCAGCAGTGTTACCTAGGTGCGTTAATTCCTAGCCAACTCACCAGGCCAACATACAGGCAATTAAAACATCTAATAATTACTTAATAAGTAATATTAAGACACGTCGCTACCTGGCATTTAATTGCAATTCTCAAAACCCCCTCCTTCACCCCCCACCATACGCATCACCACCTTCATCTCTTGCCTGGCGATTCAGCTTTAAATACACACAAAGGAGAACTCCGTGAATTTGTGTTCTAATTGCTGAAATACTAAGCTCAGCGAGGATTTTATATACGATACAGTGAACCCTCACTTTACGCGGTCAATTGAACCCACGGAGGCCCGCGTAAAGCGAGAAACGCGTAAAGTGAACAACATAACATATGGGATTAAATGAAATAGAGACCGGCTGACACCCAAACTCCACTTTTTCCAACACAATACCTATGTTCTAGTAAAAATAACATCTTAATTTTATGATGGTACATACACACAATTAATACTTAAGAGAAATAGAGAAATACAGTCGCCAAGTTAATGTCCATTCAAATAATGGACTCAACTCCCTCCCCCTCTTCTCACACTCCTGGCTCTTCCCTCTCTGAGAAATGTTTGGGGGAAAAACCACTAGATTTTAAGGTATAGTAATAAATAATACCTCAAACTAAAGTTAGGATAATATAATTGACATTGCTGGATTCCTTGTATGACCAGGAATATTTTGAATATAAATGTCATATATTTTGCACAAAAGATAACATATTTACTCAGAGTAAACAAAATACTTAAAGTAGATCTAAAATTTGTATGTCTAATGCAAAATCTATGATGTTTATATTCAAAATGATCATCAAATTGTAAGAATTCCATCAATGTAAATTATATTCTGGTCGGGTAATTTATATGAATTTTATGAGCTAAAACAAATATCTTCAGTTAATAAAAAAAAAATATTCTTCACGACACTATCTGTCAATCAAAGTACCCCACCTTGCCTCCCCCCCCTCTTCCAACCGCGCCAGATGGTCGGTCGGTCGGTCCCTCCCTCCCCCCACCCCCCACCAACCCTCCCTACCAGAGAAATGTGTGGGAGAAACCAGAATATTTACCTTTTTAGTAATAAATAATACCTCAGACTAAAGTTAGGATAATATAATTGACATTGCTGGATTCCTTGTAAGACCAGGAATATTTTGAATATAAATGTCATATATTTTGCACAAAAGATAACATATTTACTCAGAGTAAACAAAATGCTTAAAGTAGATCTAAAATTTGTATGTCTAATGCAAAATCTATGATGTTTATATTCAAAATGATCATCAAATTGTAAGAATTCCGGCAATGTAAATTATATTCTGGCCCGGTAATTTGTATGAATTTTATGAGCTAAAACAAATATCTTCAATAAATAAACAAAATATACTTACCGAAATACTATCTGTCAATCAAAATACCCCACCTCCCCCCCTCTTCCCACCTGCTCCCTGGGTACCTCCCTCCCTTCCTACCCCTCACCCCCACCTTCCCTCCCTACCAGAGAAATGATTGGGTTATAACAATATATTTACATTTTTAGTAATAAATAATACCTCACACTAAAGTTAGGATAATATAATTGACATTGCTGGATTCCTTGCAAGACCAGGAATATTTTGAATATACTGTAGTGGATGTCTCCTCTACAAACTAACTGCGTAGCTGCACACCAACTGCGTATCGCATTCCAATGTGCCGCCTCCCCTAGCAACCAAGCGAGAGCTGTCCCCAGATGTTACCGTATCTTAGCAACGGAACTAGTCACCGGCTACTTCTCGGGTTTTCCCACCATGACTCATAGCCGCTGCTGGGTGTATATAAGCTCTGTCTCTCCCTTGAGATTCAGTCTGACCAATCTTCGTGAACAAGCAACACCTCCTCCTCTGCCGCTGCCTGGCGACCCTCGCCTCTCCTCCGCCTGCCTGGCGGTCCTCGCTCCCGCCAGCGAGCATGTCCTTCCCTGAGCTTCCTCACCAACCAACTCTCATTCTGCCCATTTTCCTGAACAAGCAACATCTCCTCCAGCAAGCTCCACGCTGTTAACATTTCATTCAACCAGGAGGCCAGCAACAGGCAACATCTTCTCTAACGAAGCTCCTGCACATCTACCTCCTTCAACAAGCTACTCACCGAACGTCTTCTACCGTGCAGCCTCTCACCACACGGCACCTCCAGCACCAGACTGTCTATCATATAACTTATATATTATACAAGAAAACCACATTAGAGTTTCCTTCCATCCTGAGTGCTAGACAACATTAATATCTCGATACCCCTACAATACACTTCATATATTTTGCAAAAAAGATAACCTATTTGCTCTGAGATAAAAAAAATTTCTGCATTAGATCTTGTACTATGTCTAATGCAAAATCTATAATGCTTATATTCAAAATGATCATCAAATTGTAAGAATTCCAGCAATGTAAATTATATTCTGGCCAGATAATTTGTATGAATTTTATGAGCTAAATACAAAAATTATACTTCACCCGCGTATATGAGTAGATGCACCGCGTAAAGTGGGAATTCCAGTTCTGGCAGGGTACCACGTAAATGTAGAAACGCGTAAAGTGAAACCGCGTAAAGCGAGGGTTAACTGTATTTGTACTTATTAGCACAGTGATGAAGTAGAGTGACTTATTTTATGTCTCTCAATTATTGTATTTGGGACAATTTCTTATATGATCTCTGGTCAGCATGGCGACCACAACACATTTTCTTTGTGAAGTCGTTTAGATCGTTGTGAATATTCCTTGCCTTTAAGTCACTCAGTGAATGTCGCTGCGCCCTCCCGGGCTCGTCTTCACTGAAAGGGAATATGTGAATATATCTATTTATATACAGCATTACCCCGCTTTACACGGTTTCACTTTCCGCGATTTCTCATTTACGCGGTACCTTGCCAGAACCGGACTTTCACTTTCCGCGGTGCATCTACTCATATACACGTGAAGTATAATTTTTTTTTTTTTTTATTTAGCTCATAAAATTCATACAAATTACCAGGCCAGAATATAATTTACATTGCTGGAATTCTTACAATATGATGATTATTTTGAATATAAACATCATGGATTTTGCATTAGACATACAAATTTTAGATCTAATGTAATAATTTGGTTTACACAAAGCAAATATTTTATCTTTTGTGCAAAATATATGACGTTTACATTCAAAATATTCCCTGACCTGCAAGGAATCCAGAAATGTCAATTATATTATCCTAACTTTAGTCTGAGGTATTATTTATTACTAAAAGTTAAAATCTAGTTTTTTCACCCAACATCTCTCTGGTAGGGAGGGAAGGTGGGGGGTGGGGGGGAGGGTTGGGACCGACCGACCATCTGGCGCGGTTGGAAGAGGGGGGGAGGCAAGTTGGGGTACTTTGATTGACAGATAGTGTCATGAAGAATGTTTTTTTTTTTTATTACCATATATCTCAGCCTATAAGGTGTCGGGATCGACGGATTATTTAGCCGGGATTTTATTTTGGTTTTATTGAACTCCAAGGGTCTTTGTTTGTACTTTCGCTACTAGGGCGCAAGTACTAGTGGCGTGATTTGGCGCCACCAAGGCCCGCCTTTCCCTGAACACAAACATCAGCTGCTTCTAGTGGGCAACAGTCTTTGATTTTCAACTTTGCTGGCGGTTCATCACACGAAATTATATCACTATGCCTCCCCAAACGACCTGCTGCCCTCTGATCTACACCTAAGAGGGCAAGACGAGTGCTGACGCTGAATGAGAAGAATGAAGTGCTGAAACAACTCGACAGCTGTATGAGCTATGCAGCTGTTGGCCGCCACTTTGGGCTCAACGAACTAGCAAAAGTGCGGAATTAAACGACGCGCAAGGATCTGAAGCATCGCTTTAGCTTCAAGTGCACCAGTGACATCAAAAGTGACAAGCCATGTGCGATGATGCCCTCAATAAATGGAAAAGCACTGAACATTTGGATAGAGGGACCTAAACCGCCGCATACCACACTTGACTCGAATTTATTAGGCAGAAAGCTATGAACTTTATGATAGGTTTTCTAAAAGTGATGATCATGTGGTGTTAAGATGGTGATGGTGATGATCAGGTGATGGTGATGGTGACAATTTGAAAAAAATTTGTAGCTAGCAAAGGATGGTTTCGAGAAATTCAGACATCGTTATGGGCTGCATAATATAAAAAGGACTGGCGTATACAAAGATTAAGAGACACTGTGGCAGGGAAGCATACCCCTGTGAGCTTATAACCACATAGCAATAAAAAAGGGTTATAGGTCGAACAGTTTTTAATGCTGATGACAGGCCTATGGTGGAAGAAGATGCCACGCCAACCTACATCTCTAAAGAGGAAAAAGTACCTCGATTTAAAGCATGACCGAGTGACAGTGATGCTATGTGGGAATGCGTAGGGTATGATTAAGCCCATGTTGTTATACACTGCCGCATCTACCTCGGCTCTCAAAAATAAAAACATGAACTTGCTACCAGTTTCTACAGGAACAACAAGAAAGCGTGGATGACATCTGATTTGGTGCGTGATTGGCTGGAAAAACTGCTTTGCTAGAGAGGTGAAAAATTATCTGGATGAACTTGCATGAGTTCAGCGGTATTATGTCTAGATAATTGCCCTGGCCACTCTGAAGAACTCAAGACTGCCTACACTTGAAGATTAAGGGTGGTTTTCCACAAAAACACCACTTCATCATCCAGCCAAT